GAAGCACTCCCAGTCTCAAAAAAGTTGGGCGGAAGATCGATGTTTGCATTTGTTGTTGTGCCTTGTTTGTTTTGTTGCCTCTTACAAACGTCATGGTGAGCCTTCAGTCTTTGTACGATGCCTTGAATCTTTCTTACACTGTTTGCAAGTTGCTCTGCATCTTGACTTATTAGAAGAGGTGGTTTTGATGTGAATCTGCCAAATACTGTCTTCTTTTCTTCCAGCCATTGCGTTCTGCTCAAACTGACTGATTATTATTACACAAACACAAAAAATGTACACACTTTTCAACATTAGCCTCGCTTGAAATTTTGTGACGAAATGAATAAGACCGAAGAAAGGCGACGGCATTTATAGATTACGCCGGGCAACGTGCGAAAACGAGTCGCGGGCAGTTGCGACAAGAATTTTCCGTCGAAAATGCGTTCGGACAAATATTGAATCGATTCAACTTAGCTTGATTCTTCTCGGCAACAGTTGCAATGACTTTAAAACAGCTAATTAAGCGGATTTATCAATTGACTTAATAAAAATCAAAAAAATCATGATTTTTGATTAATTTAAATAAATCAGTGATTTTTAATTTTTTTAATAAAAATCAATTTTTGCCCAACACTGATATATTCTGATGTTATTAACCGCTTTGTGCGCTAGTTGGATACCTTGGCGCTGTCAACTGAACCATGGCTGAGCGTTTTCACGTGTTGCGGATGAAAGGGCCGCTCCTGAGAGATTCCCTCAGCGCTTCTGTGCCTAGAAGGGGACGTGTTTCGGCTGGGAGTTTTGCTTCCGACGGCCTGTTGGGATGGGGTTACGTGAAGGCTGTCCATGGCACCAAGCCTGCAATGTTCAAGAAATCAAAATAAATCGCCTGCACTAAGATCGGGTCCAATCATCGCATGACCAATTTACGTTCAGAGAACACGAGATGAGTGACTCATGGAGGAAGCATTCTCACAGGATTAATTGGGGTTTGCGTTGAGCGCCTACCTCCAGAGGTTCATGATAGTCAGCTGCATTTTGTGCACTTGAGCGGCCGGAAACTAGTGAAGAAGCTTTGCGGCTCGCAACTGTCACACTTGGTCAAATCTATTAGCGGAGAAGTGAATAATAGTGGAACGATAAGGCATAGCAAACTTACTACATCGATAAGGGAAACGCGACCAAGCCAAGACCTTTGGATAACCCCGAGCGACTACACGGTGAACCAAACCGAGAACATGCTGAGTTATTGGGGGATATTCATAGATAAAACCAACTGTTTTGAAATATTTTTATTCTGAAACATCAGCGGCCAGATTGTGCAGGAAAAATCCTTTAATGACACGATCCAAGATAGCTACCAGTTGAACTTTGGGCTGATACTGATTGCTGACCTTACCATGCCGGAATCGTGTTTGATTGTTCGCCTATCTGGGGTGGGGCGTCCAAGGAGGCCAAGGCGTTGCTGCAGATTAACTTCATTGTTTTGACGCCCCAGCCAGAAGAAACCGCGTTCAATTCATGCCGCCACATTAGTTCCCATGCAATTAGCATACCTAAACAATCGTTGACGTCGACCGTGGACCCAATTAAAGGAACCAAACGATCAGTAATTAATGCACGTAACGAGGACCAAATACACTTTAAACTTCCATTAAATGCGACCTACCGGGTGTTCCATTTGGATGGGCAGAACGTGTTTTAAATCGCTTCCCCCCAGCGACTGGAGGACACTGCCCAATTTTCAGAAATTAGGACACCCTGTATGTTGCGACTATATGGGCTTTCCATATGTATTTTTGGATGGAATCTTGCAAAATATTTCGCACATTCCTCTCGATGTGCGGTTTGTATACATGGGTTGAGTAATCGACTTGATGCTGATTAATGGAGAGCAAATTTGCACTTTACAGCTTTGCCAGCTTATCTATTAGTGCGTGCAGCTTGTTTATTGCCCACAGGATGTAGGCAGCTATTTTCCCCCGAAATACACTTTCAACAGGAAGCTCTCAGCTGATGAATCATTATTATTAAATATTCAAGTTTTCCACTGGCCGCAGGTTAATTTCATATCATATAACAAGCTTGCAAGTACGATTAGGACATCTAGCCCCTTGTCCCAAGGCAATTAGACAATTAAAAATACTGGGAGTTACCAAATAGAGGTGCTCAATGGGCAAATTCCCAGAACCTATTCCCCTATACACTGGGGCTTTTGAGCGATTCAACGCCAAAACCTTGCAGTACTTTCAAGGGCTTTTTGGCTGTTTTCATCACAAAAGCCCCATGATGTGACTGGAGTAATTAATGCTGCACTTTGAGCCCTACCCATTGAGCAACACGCAACGCGATTGATTTCCAGCTAACCAGCATTAACTACTTACGACTAGCCTGTTTATTACCTCACTGACTCGTACCATCGAAAACACCCATTCTAGTCTTTTGGGAAACTTTGAAAAAGAACCGATTAGAGCACGGACACTGAAACTTTCGAACAGTCCAAGCAGAGGTGCCGCTCCTCGATGCTGGATAGGTGACGAGGCTCAAATGCACGGTATTTTCACGTTCATTTTCGCTCAAAATTAGGCGTTTAATCACCAAAATTGTCTCATAGTACCAGGAAATAGAGACAATAGTTGTCAATATCAAGATTGTTCCATAATTAAACTGCCGGACTGAAGTCAGCTGCGCTGTTTGACGTTTGTATGGGCGGGGACAGGGAAAAGGATGACACATACGAGTTTAGTGATAACAAAGTGAAATGCTAGATGACACATCTCGATGTTTGTGTTTATATTGGAGACTGAGATGGTAAATGGGAATGGCGGATGTCAAAGGGAGACGCAATATTGGACACTCATAAAAACTGTTTAATTTTATTATAGACATGTACATAAATAATTGCAAAGCAGCATTCCAGAGGTAAAGGGCCAAAAAAAATCAAGGATTAATTCAACTAAAATTTTACTCGTCAACAAATCACACAAAATACACAATTTTGCATTGCAATTTCGAAACAAATAAAGCGCTGGCGGGCCAGCGGTGCTCCATTCTGCAATTACAGGCGAACCTAACTCAGCCAGCTATCAGCTGCTACTTGCAATAGGCCAATTTCCTGAACACCAGGTCCATAAAGGACTCTTTAAACCGGGGGCTCACTGTGTTTAGCAACGCGTACGGCGTCTCGTAATAGTCGGCGTTTTCCCAGTTGTCCAAGTCGAAATCCTTACCACAGAATCTGAAACCCTGCACGGTCAGTTCAAACGTGTATTTACCACCTTCGAGAGTTTCCACGTTGAGGTATATCCGCGAATTGGTGCTGGTTAGGGCTTTGGATACTTCGATACGTTTTACGTGGTCTTTGACGTCGCTGATTAAACCTTGGGCCTCTTCCAGCCACCCGTCTGCATCTAGCACTCGTTCTGCCATTATTGCAGAATTCGCTTAACACTGGGTTTTCGAATGTTTTCAACCAGAAAAAACTCCTCAAATTTGTGAACAACAAAAGTTTTCAAAAGTCAAAACTGACGTTCAACCACAGGTCAGAGAGGTTACTTTGCCATCTGTGCGTTCAACCAGGGTGGAAAACCTTTCAAACGCATATTACCGTACAAGCCATTTAGGGCCATAGGTCTCAGACATGAAAAGAGCCTTGGCACTGGTTAAAAGCAAGGTCCCATGATATTTACCGTACAAAAATACCAAAATATCGTACAATTGGTGTACGGTAACGCGTTCGAGACTTACACAATTGCCCAAATTACCGTACGAATGGCCACCCTGCGTTCAACTGACAATGCAATTGAAAGTTGATGGTGCTGTTGTGGCAACAGCGTCAAGGCCCTGGTTTGGGTAATTTATTGTATTTGAACTGTATCTGAACTGCTTATGTTTAGTTGATATTTTTTTAAATTTGAATTTTTTAAGACCGTCAGGATTTTGCTTGGTTTCTACCCAAACTGGGTTAATATTAGTTTTTCTTGAAAAACATCAATAAAAACAAAACGGTTCGGCATTAAGGATTTCTGTAATTTGGCCGGATATAGTGGGTCGTCATTTTATCCGGAATTACCTCATACGCCATTTGTGTGATTTGTCAGTGGTTCCTGTCAGAGGTCCTGGGTTTTTCTAGAAAAAACAGGAAAATCGTYAGATTTWYCTGCTAAAATCGTTGAAYTCAATCGTGAAATMGTTGAAATCGTTAACTGTAGGAGTTTGCAATAGATTTATGCGCATTATTTGCAAATTGTTGAAATGTTTTGGAAGTTTCTTGAACACCACCCAAGAAAGTTGTTCGTCAACGGAGTATCTTCAAGGTAAGCAAATTTTTATTAAGTTTTCTAGCACWAGAGAAACAATTCGCGGRTTTGCAGCTAGTGTTCTTTCGGTGTCAGRAACACTGAAGGGTTGATGGGTTTATTAACATTGCGTGCACATTAGCTGAAAGAAAACGTCTTCGGTTTGCGGAACTWWGCTTSRCTTTTGGCTTAATTCGAACGGCGCATTTATGGGGCAAACGGGCTGGGCAAATACTTATCCAAAGGTCAGCCAGACCTGTCGATACTCGACACGAGTATTTATGTTTTATCTCGAAATACAAAACGGTATTGTTTTGTTAACAAGCACTTCGAATCGCCCACGTCTTTTGATTCCGATAAACGTTTCGGTGTTCGGCTTGAGCACTGTGTTAAGAACCGAAGAACCAGACCATCATTGTCGACATTGCGGTTTAGTGCAGTTGAAGGAGACCGTAAATGGGCACTTCGGTGTCGAAGTGTGCTTGGAAAATCGATTCTCCTAGTCCTAATCTATCTTCTTGTTTATAATGCAGATAAAATCCTTTTTTTAAAAAATAGGGTGCAATTGAGACGGTTTTTCGTGTTGGAATGTTTGGGCTCTTTGTTTGTTTGTTTGAGGCGGCTCAAGCGCAAGTCAAAGACATACCGGAGGCGTTGAATAAAAATTCCTCTGCAGCAGTAACGATGCGAAACCGCAAGTGCAACTCCTTTTATCTGTCATTTAAATGTCAAGAGTAATTTGCAATAATTCGCTTTTAGTGTTGTTCGAAAATCTGGCGAACGCAATAATGGAGCGTGTTTTCTTTGTCCCGAGGCGGGGAATGATAAATTTCAAGTAATGTTTCTGTTCGGGATGTTCGCCGGCCCGAGACGGGCCCAAGCACAGGAAATATGAGAAATGATCGGTGGAAAAAGCGACGTTTTTAATCCCCGCTAAGCAAGTTTGCAGGTTCGGTATTTTTTCCAGCCAAGTGAATAGTTTCCATTTCCCATAAACGGATTCGAACGGCTCGAAACAAAAACCATCCTGCCAGCTTTGAGCATATTTCATCGGCTCTTTTAAAAATATGAATAATTTAAATATGTTCCCATCGCGATGATTGACTTACGGTCGGAGGTTCCATGAATTCTAATGGGAATATTCATTTTTCTGTTATGAAGATTTATGACGATTGAGGGAAACTGGAAATTGGTTTTTGTGTTTGAACGGCCAAAGGAATTAGGTTCGGAACACAGTGTGTCGTGGAACATTTTTTGTCGTTTCGTGCGTGCATCTCGGGCATTTATCGGACCATTTTGCCTTTGCCCACTTAGTAGCTTGGCTCGTAAACTTTGTCTTTCACCAGTCACATTAACATAAAGGAAGTTTTCCAGTGACTTTTTATTATTTATGCGCCAGTCGCTCGAAATTTACGACCGTTCAGCTCGGTGCATTGATAATTTTCATTAATTGCCTTGTAAGTATTTAAAATGCCCAAGCAGCGCTAGCGAACCACAACGACCACTTGGAGCATCGGAATTGCTGACATTTCGGTAAAATCAGCACTTGGCTAGTTTCGAGGCCAGGTAGTTGCATAGTCCAACACATGGGTATTTTCGTGCAGTTTGTAGTACAACACCCATTAGCAGCTAGTCCATAAAATGGAAAATGCTAATGGACAGGCCCCATGGCGATTAAGATTGCAACAACGTCCCCAGTACTTTGCATATTATTCGCCATTAAAGGTGACTGGAATGGTGCTCTTCAAGGATTTTTTCCAGTGACAAAAGGGGGGCATTTACGCTTTTTTTTATTCGTTTTTGATTATTAATTATTTATTTTTTGCTTTATTATATAGAACTTCAGTTGCCGAAATAATGTGCATTGCGGTCTCCAGTTTTACTCTCAAGCCATACGCCAAAA